TTGAGTTTGGGTGTTGTGCTAGACGGTACTTGAGATATTTAGAAAAAACCATTTATCCAATTTCTTAATTGTCACGTATGAGATTTTCACAAACACCAATCCCATGATGTTTCCGACTTGTGGTGCTGCAAAACGGACAGGGATCAACTGGAAACACATTTGGAGCTGACACATTGGAGTAGCTCAACTGCCCAAGATGCTTGGTGGTCGGCTTCGCGTGGTATATTAATATTAACTTATCCTTAGTTTATTGTTCAAGCTAGCCGCGTCAGTGTGCGCCACATCGACAAAATTAATAAAAAATGAAATCTTAACTAGAACAAATTTAAACAATAAAATAATGAATATTAATTATAATTAGCTTAAATATTAGTGTAATAAAATATTTGTATATATAAATGAATAAGAAAATTATGCAGGCTTGACTTTTTTTATAAAATAGATTTAATGGAGATAAAAAAGCAAGGGAGTTTTATGATCTATTTTAATGATAATGCTTCTTATTTTTCTATATATTTAAGGGACTTAACAAAATTGTATTACCATTGCATTAATTTTTTATATGCATAGTTATATTTAGAATGAGAATGAATTTCATGAATTATGCGATTGTTCAAATAAAGATGTATCATTAAAAAAAAAAAAAGCTAAGGATTATCGTGCTCTTATTAGAAGTCTAAAAAGCAGAGAAAGCAGGGGGTGAACGGGAGAATATTCTCCTCTCTTTCATTTAAGTCAGACTTAAGTCCTGCAAGACTATTCTACATATTTTTTTTTAAAATAAATATAAAGCAAGATATATAGTTTGGTTTATTTAAATTCTAAATTGACCTATTTAACAAAAATATATTTGAAAAAAAACCTGCAAAGCAATTTTTGAACAAGCTTTAAAAATAAAAAATGATTAAAAAATCAACTGAATCATCATCTTAATATATATATATATATATATATAAAGTAGTTAAATAAAGTGTAAAAAATTATTTTTAAAATTAAAATATTTTTATGAGATGATGTGATAAGATATGGAACATTAAATATAGTGTAGGGCCACAATTTTCTCGCCAAGGACGAGGATCTGAGGGGATCCAAACCCCGTGTACAAAGTAGTCAAATAGGCATTAAAAAAATAGGTAAATTGCTACGGATATACCCATTAGGGAATTGTTAATAGTATTATATATGAAAGTTATTTTTAAGAAAAATATGCACGATGGTTAATATTTATTTCTTTCTATAATTATTAATTAAATGCACACATTGTTATTTAATGTATTAGTTTTATTCATAATTATATTTTTTATTTACTTTATCAGTTATTCATTTAGCTTAATAATTTATATTTTTTTATTTATTTCAATTGGAAAAAATCACGTATAGATCCTATGAAACAATTTATTTATAAATAAGTCTTACAAAATTTAAAAATCATATTTTCTTGGGACCTAAGTGTAATTCAAAATTAGAGTGCAAAGGCAATAACACCTCTATTAAAAATATCTTACATCAATGAATTAATTTACAACTATTGAATATTTAAAGTTATAGCTATAAAAAGTTATAGTAATAATTGTAAATTATTAATGAAATAATGCATATAGCAGTTCTTTATTGATATTGATGTTATTCCTTGTCTGATAAAGGTCAGGTTTAGATTAAAAAATATTCATTCATATAAAAATAGGTTTTTTTTTTTTAATTTCAGATCAGATAACACATGATGCAAATGAGTTAATCTTGATGGGTTGAGATTAGTCCATTTAACTCATTATTTTATAAATGAAATAAAAGAAAAATAAAAAAGAAAGGAGATTTAGTACCAAAACTCCATAAGAGAAGCAGATTTTGAAATAAATCATGATAGAATTGATCAATATCATATATTTATTATGTAAACTGTTTTGGAAAAACACAATCACGGTTCCTATAGTTTCATTAGATTTTTTTTTTCTAGTTCCTCTGACTTTTTTTAATATTTTCAATTCCTATAATTTTAGTAAGATTGGGTGATATTTATTACTCAGGTTCCTATTATTTCAGTTTTTTCAGTGTTTGCAAATACTGAAAAATTATAGGGATTAAAAATAAAATTTGATAAAACTTTAAAGATTGATAATTGTGTTTTTTCAAAATTTTTAATTGCATGAGATATCACAATAAAACTTCCCATTTAAATATAATTTAAAAAATAATAAAAAATTTGTTTGATTGGCCCATTTAACCCATTATTTCGTAAGGGTTGAGTTGGTTGAAATTTTTTCAACTCATGTAAAAATAGGTTTCAATTTATATTTTTCTCAATTTATATAATTAATTAACTTATATTCCCAACTTTGTTGATAACTTACTGATTTTTTACGTCTGTGGATGTCTCTTGTGAAAAACGATAAACAACCGCTAATTTTCTCTCCAGTCTCCACTCGCAATGTACTTTTGACTGACTTATGTTGTTGTCCTCCGTTGTTGTAACTTTGAGTTATGAAAGCATTTTTTTTGGATAAAAAAAAATAAATAAACCAGAACATTCCCTAAAATTTAAGTGAATTTTTTTCCCCTTTCAAACGATGTTCTTCATATATATATATATATATATATATTTAAAAATTAAGTTTTAAAATGATGTCTAAAGGACGATCACTCCTATTTGCACCACACCTACTAGGTGGCAATTTAATAGCTTTTATGATACCTTTTGATACTTCACTATTTGGAAAATGGCGAAAAAGAACAGAGTCGGCAAATATAATTAAAAATTAAAAAATGAAAATGAACTGTGGGAAGGGATAGGCATGTGGGAAGATTGAAAACATCCTAGGTGAGAGAAAATAAGACAATATATTTATTTTTATGCATTTAATTTTTTATTTTTAATTAAATCAAGACAATATAAATATTTTTTATAGATTATTTATTTTATAATAAATTTTTATCATTTATTTTATTAAGATATTATGATTTATTTATCATGATTATATTAAATATAAGTATAAAAAATTAAGTACACAACTCTCACCCAAAAGTTTAAATAAAAAGCAATCATCAAAAGATGAACCTCTCGTATTTTTTTTCTTTGGCCAGTAGGGATATTCAGTCATCAATCATGAAACAAAGCCAGCACACAATGATAGTCCACAAAAGCACCCGTAAAGAGTAATTAACCTGCTAAGCCAATTGTCACGGGACTAGTCTTTCGACCCGTACGGCACTTAGACAACTTTCACTAGAAGTTGCTAAGTAAGCCTAACTCGTATGAAAGGAGGATACTTGGCTAAGTAGAGGAAAGAGAAAGCTTGAAGGCAAAGGAGAGTAGAGAGAGTTTGGAGAATGTGAGAGTTCTATAACTTTGAGAACTCAAGAATGATTTACAAATGAGGAGGGTTGAGGTATTTATAGGCCTTCCTTTAGATCTAGAATGTTTCCACCTCCTTAATGGACGGTGGAGATTAAATCTATCCTACGGTTACAATTGATTCTCTAGAATTCTCTTAACAAATATCTAGGTATTTAAATGGAGGAATCTAGAGACAATATTAAAATATTGAGGCTAGAGTTGAGTAGGCCTTTCTAGAATGTTCTTGCACTCTCTAGCACTCTTAAGGTTAACTGGGAGCCTTCTGGAAGGTTTTGGAGCATTCCGGACCTTGTGAAAAATGACAAAACGTGACATTCTCCCCCACTTGATTTCGCGACGCCCTCGTCGCGCCTTCCTCCTTGTAGTATTGGATTTGGTCAGTGAACTGCCACAGGAGGTCTTCACGTTCCCAACTAGCTTCAAAGTCTGGTTGATCCTTCCACTTGATTAAGTACTCAGTGTAGTTGGGAACTCCTCTCTTTCTGATCACCCTGTCGGCAAGGACTTCTTCTATCTCCTTGTCGTACTCGGTGACGACCACTGTTGGTGCTCTCTTAGAGATACCTCGAGATGGATCTTCTTCATCTCTATAGTATTTCTTCAAGAGACTAACATAGACGACAGGATGAATCTTAAGCTTGGGAGGGAGTTGCACCTGGTACGCAACCTTTCCCACACGTTTGATGATAGGGAAAGGGCCTTCATATCTCCTGACCAAGCCTTTGTGGACTTTGCATAGTGACTTGAATTGATTCGGTAATAACTTAACCATGACCAAGTCACCTACTTGAAACTCAATGGGGCGCCGCTTCTTGTCTGCCCACTTCTTCATTTTTCAGGAAGCTTTATCCAGGCATGCACAAGTAATGTCAGCTTCTTCTTGCCATTCCTTGGTAAACTTATAGGCAGCTGGATTGTCTCCCTTGTATGGTGTGGCAAGTGTGTTGGGGGTTAGAGGTTGTTGTCCGGTAACTATCTCAAAAGGGCTCTTACCTGTCGACTCGCTTCGCTGCAAGTTGTAAGAGAATTGGGCCACATCGAGCAACTTAGCCCAATCTCGTTGATGAGCACTTACGTAGTGCTGAAGGTAGAGCTCTAACAAAGCGTTGATTCACTCTGTTTGTCCGTCACTTTGAGGATGAAAGCTTGTTGAGAAGTTCAAGTCTGTCCCCAAGAGCTTGAAAAGTTCTCTCCAGAATTTCCCGGTGAATCGGGGATCTCGATCACTGACGATGTTGCGAGGGATCCCCCATAATTTCACGACATGCTTGAAAAATAAGCGTGTCGCTTCATCAACCTTGCAATCTGCTGGGGCTGGTATAAAGGTGGCATATTTTCTGAATCTATCAACCACCACCATGATACTCCCACATCCTTCAGACTTAGGGAGAGCAACTATGAAGTCCATGGAGACACTCTCCCATGATCTCTCAGCCACCGGCAAAGGTTCGAGTAGACTAGCAGGATGTTATTGTTCAACTTTATCTTGCTGGCACACTAAGCAAGTTCTCACATATGCTTCGACATCGTCTTGCATATGTGGCCAATAGAAATGATTTTGTATGAGAGCAAGTGTTCTGGTCATACCTGGATGTCCGGCCCACATGGAATCATAGCACTCTTTTAGGACATCCCTTCGAAGGTTGCCCTATTTCGGCACATAGACTCGGTTCCCAATGGTGTAGAGTATTCCATCATTCACCCAAAATCTTCGAGGCTTGCCTTCGGTAGCAAGCTTTACTAAGTCGCTTGCGAATGAGTCCTGAGACATACCTTCCTTGATTCGTTCAAGGAAGTCATTCTGGGGCATACTTGCTAAGAGAGTGGCTAACTCGGCTTTCCTGCTTAAGGCATCCGCCACCACGTTCGCTTTGCCTGGCTTGTACTCCAGCCAATAATCAAACTCAGCAAGAAAATCTTGCCAGCGAGCTTGCTTTGGGCTGAGCTTCTTTTGTGTTTGGAAGTAGCTCGTAGCAACATTGTCTGTCATAATAGTGAACTTACTCCTAAGTAAGTAATGACGCCAGGTTCGTAGACAATGGATAATGGCAGATATCTCTTTTTCTTGCACCGTGTAGCACCTCTCTGTGTCATTGAGCTTGCGGCTCTCATACGCAATAGGGTGTCTTTCTTGCATTAAAACGCTGCCTATTGTAAAGTCTGAGGTATCGGTGTGTACCTCAAATGGCTTAGAGTAGTCGGGCAAGGACATAACAGGCTCTTGCGCGACCATCTGCTTCAGCTTGTTGAAGGCATCCTGGCAATCTTGTGACCAATGCCAAGATTTGTTCTTCTTGAGTAAATCTGTCAATGGAGCAGTGATTTTTGAATACCCCTTTATGAACCGTCGATAGTAGTTCACCAGACCAAGAAATGATCTTAACTCTGGGTTTTGGTAGGAGGTTGCCATTCTTGGATGGCTCGAACCTTAGTTGGGTCCATCATGAGCTTCCCATCCTTGATCTTATGCCTCAAGAAGTCCACGTCTTGTTTGGCAAAAGAGCATTTTTCCAGCTTAATGTAAAGTTCATGATTAGAGAGTACTTGAAAGACTTTCTTCAAGTGTTGAGCATGCTCTTCAAGAGTCTTGCTGTACACCACGATGTCATCCAAGTATACCACCACGAACTGGTCCAAGTAAGGGTGGAACAACTTGTTCATGAGCGTGCAGAATGTAGCTAGGGCATTTGTTAGTCTAAAGGGCATGACAAGGAATTCGAATGCTCCATATCTCGTCACGCAGGTTGTCTTCGACTCATCACCTGCAGCGATGCGTACTTGATAGTACCCAGATCGAAGATCAAGCTTAGAGAAGTACCTGGCTTTTCTAAGCTGATCGAACAAATCAGCAATCAAAGGTATCGGGTACTTATTCTTAATAGTAATCTTGTTCAAGGTCCTGTAGTCGATGCACATTCGCAACGATCCATCCTTCTTCTTCTGGAAAAGGATTGGGGCACCATAGGGAGCCTTAGATGGTTGAATATATCCTGAATCAAGGAGATCTTGCAGTTGTCTCCTTAACTCTGCAAGTTCTGGAGGTGACATGCGGTAAGGTACCAAAGCAGGTGGTTTGGCACTAGGCTCCAACTCGATCTGATGGTCTACCTCTCTTTTGGGAGGTAGTTTCTTGGGCAACTCATCGGGCATGACGTGCTTGTACTCCTGTAGCACTTCTTGGATGCAAGGTAGCAAGGTTTCCTGTGGCTTGGTTGGGCCATCCTCTTCCTCGGCCAATGAACGTACAGTGGCAATATACCCTTCTGAGTTCTTGAGACCCCTCTTGAATTGCAAGGCAAAAATCATAGGGTTGGATTTCTCCAAGCGTTTTAAAGGGATTACCAGGATCATGTTGGAGTCAATGACCACCATAGACTTGGCTTCGAGAATAGGGAAGGCATGTGCTTTGCAAAAGAAAGCAAGTCCCAATACAACTTTGAAATCATCCATAGGGATAACAGTAAAGTCTAACGTATCTTGCCAGTCCCCGATCTTCACCTTCACATCCTTGGCAATCCCAAAGACTTGTTTGGCTGGAGAGTTCACTGCCTTGATGGTGCCTTCTCCCTTGCTGAGTTGGATACCTAATCTCTTGGCTTCTTCAGCCTCTATGAAGTTATGGGATGCTCCTATGTCGAGCATGGCAGAAGCGGACTTACCCTGAATGGCAAGATCAGCATAAAGTAGACCTTTCTCTTCCTTCTTACATGGGGAAAAGAGTCCAGTCAAGGAATTCAAATGTTGGAGGGAACCAAGGTCGATCTGTTGCTCCTTGTCCCGGTTATCCTTCGTCTCAGCAACCAAAGCATTCATAGCTTTGTGGTTGGGGCAGTCACGAGTCCAATGTGGACCATTGCACATGAAGCATGGCTTCGGTGGCTTTGAGGCATCATGCTTGATTAAGGGTGGTTTATCTTGTCTAGAACTCCCACCAAAGAATCTACCACCATCCTTACGATCGGAATTCTTCTTTTGTCCTCCTTTGTCTCCTCTACTGTTACCAAGATTAGGCTTTTTGGACTTGGTGGAGTAGTCAATTATGCACTCAGCAGCAGCAATTGCCTCATCTAGAGTTTGCATTTTGTGTCTATTGAGTTCTACTCTCGCCCAGTCTTTAAGTCCGTCCATGAAGTAGAAAAGAGCCTCCTTATCAGACAGGTCCTCGATCTCGAGTATGATGGTAGTAAACTCTTTGATGTAGTCAGGAATACTACTAGTTTGTCTCAATCTACGAAGCTTACCTCGAGCCTCTGTCTCAGCATTGTGGGGAACAAAGTGCTTGCGGAGTTTTGACTTGAACAGCTCCCATGTGTTGAGAGTGCAAAGGCCCTTTTCTCGTTTAGCATGCTTTCTGCGCCACCATAGTTGGGCTGCGTCCCGGAAAAAAGTTGAAGCATTGTTGATTTTGATCAAGTCGTTAGAGACTCCCATGGCCTCGAAGTACTGTTCTAGGCCAAAAAGAAAGTTCTCCACAATCGTGGCACTACGAGCCCCATTGTACATGGCCGGCTTGGGCACTTTCAGACCCTGAGAAGTGACGTTTGAAGTACTGCCACTAATAGGGCTACTCACACAGCGATGAGATTCCCATTCATGATGAATCTCATCCATTTGAGAGCGTAGACCTCGCACCTCATCTCTCACATATTTGCGGAGATCGGCGAGATCACGTCTGAGGGAACGAATGTCTTCCCCTAAATCATCGTTAAGGTCTGCAATCATCAACTTGAAAGCCCGCATTATCTCAGCATTCTCTTGGATGAGATTGTTGAGTTGATCGTTGAGTCCCCCTATAGTAGTTCTCACTTCCTCCATGTTAGATTCCAAGCTAACAACACGAGGTTCAAAGGACTCACCTGCAGGTGCCCTGCTCCGGCCTCGCTCTCGCTTGGACCTGGGGTGAGCTTGCTCTTGTTGTGCATGAGCTTGCTCCTGTGCTTCCGTGCCAACAATGTTTCCTTTCTCAGTTGCCATTGTACAATACCTTCCTTCAAGCACAATGGTAGAACCGAGCTCTGATACCAACTGTCACGGGGCTAGTCTTTCGACCCGTGCGGCACTTAGACAACCTTCACTGGAAGTTGCTAAGTAAGCCTAACTCGTATGAAAGGAGGATACTTGGCTAAGTAGAGGAAAGGGAAAGCTTGAAGGCAAAGGAGAGTAGAGAGAGTTTGGAGAATGTGAGAGTTCTATAGCTTTGAGAACTCAAGGATGATTTACAAATGAGGAGGGGTGAGGTATTTATAGGCCTCCCCTTGGATCTAGAATGTTCCCACCTCCTTAATGGACGGTGGAGATTAAATCTATCGTACGGTTACAATTGATTCTCTAGAATTCTCTTAACAAATATCTAGGTATTTAAATGGAGGAATCTAGAGACAATATTAAAATATTGAGGCTAGAGTTGTTTAGGCTTTTCTAGAATGTTCTTGCACTCTCTAGCACTCTTAAGGTTAGCTGGGAACCTTCTGGAGAGTTTTGGAGCATTTCGGACCTTGTGAAAATGACGAAACGTGACACAATGCTATTAATGAATGCTGGCCGAAAGAAGGAATATTCCAGTGTGTTCTAGAGGAATATTCCAAAGGAATGCGTCATTCAATTAATGAATATTTTTTCAATACATTTTATTTTATATAATATCAATCAAAATTTTTTAGCATAAAATAATTCATCATTACCAACAAAGACAGGTATTGCTGATAAAAAATTAGCTCATAATCCAATAAGTCATGGGATCAAATCCAACTATTAATATGAGAATTTTATTGATAGATAATTTATAAATACCTTTGAAATGCTTTTTGGCCTTGGTGAGCCATTTGGACTCACTCAAACTTTTTTCATAAAAAAAATTATTCATCATCCCATTAATTAATTAATATAGTAAAATCAAAGAAGAGCTTGAGTCTTGGATTTTCAGTTTATGTAATTTGTTAGAAGAACCATGTTGTTTATTGGTAATTAAAAATTAAAAAATTATTAAAACAATCAATGGAATGTAAATCATGAATTTAAGTAAAGTTATTGTAAATTTAAAGAAGGTTACTTATAAGTTGTAAATCAATGAAAAGACAATTATAAATGAACAGATAATTTTATAAATTTATGTATTGCCACTTATAAATTAAGGATAGTCACTTGTAAATTTTAAAAGGACCAATAGTCAATTTATGAAAATTTGATTGTGAATAAATAAATAATCTCATAAATGTATGTATCACTTGTTATTCAAGGATGATTATTTGTAAATCTACAGGACGTTGCTTGTTAATGCATGAAACATCAGTGGTAATTGTAAATAAATAATTACGTGTTGTGGTTGGCTCATATTATTAGTTTTAATAAATTCACAAGCCAAGTACTTTTCCTTGAATTCACGAGTAGCTTTCTATTGATTATTCCAATAATTAAAAATATTTTAAATGCAAATAAAGACCATTATCATTTTTTGGCATTTTAATGTTTTAAGGTCTTCAATGGTCCTGATTTATAATTAATTGGATTGGATTTAATGCTATCTTTTGTTTGCTTGTGTGTGTGTGTGTGTGTGTGGGGTGGACCGCACGTCTTTATTTTGGAAAGAGTGCTCTTCTAGCTTGTGTGGCATCCCATATTAATTTTTCAAAGAATTAATTTTCGATTTCCACAAATACCCTGGATAATTTTACTCACTCTCAACTTCGTTTAAAGCGAGTTGAAAGGAAAAACAACGAAGCGAGGATTTTTAAATTATAAAATTATTTTTATATTTGATTCTGTTAATAAGCAAAATGCAGAAGCAAACATATCACTATGAAGGAAGAAATTGATTAGTGCCCAACTGCTCCTGATCGTCCCCGACAAGCACGACGTAACGAGGGAATTAATTAAGTTATTGAAGCACTGATTGTTAATATAAATATAAACTCCATGCGTGTTCGATCCACACGACAAGCATATGCCAGAGCTTGTCCACCAATCCACCAATATCACCGTATGTGGACCATGGGGAGGAGACCCCGTAGAGATCACGCCAAAAAAAAAAATTAAATAAATAAATAAATAAATTATTTGGTTCCTGTAATTTTTGTTTAGTTTCAGTACAATTTTTGAACTTCAATTAGTTTTAATTCAGTCATTAAAATTTTGATTTGAAATAATTCAGTTGCTATAATTTTAACTATTTAAAATATTAGCCTTTATATCTTAAAAATAAAATTATAATGATTAAAATTATTTTAAAATTTTAATATTTATAATCTTTATAAAAATTAAAAATTTTAGTAATTTTAAATAGTAATACCTAAATGTCAACATAATTTTAATTTTTATAATTTTATTTTAAAATATAAGGATCAATATTTTAAATAGTTAAAATTTAGTGATTACTCCCCCCGTCTCTATATACAAGAGATCTTTTAAAACCTTTTTTGTCCTTAAATATAAGAGATTTTTAACATATTTTTTTAATGAATGGACCATTATATTCTTATTAAATTGAAAATAAAAAAATATAAGTACTTTCATTAATTTACTTTAAAAAAGAGATTCATTCTTTTTATTTACAATAATTAGTGAAAAAATTGAAATGCTACTGTGCTTTTAATTAAATAATTAACATTTGTTTGTTTGCGTGATTCGATTAAAAATATCTCATATATAGAGATAGAGGGAGTAAGTTCCAATGAATTGGGGCATTTAGTTTTCAGTTTAATAAAAGCTTGTTTGTCAAAAGTTCACTTGGTAAAAATTAATTTAGTGAAAGTTAGTTGGTGTAACAAGATTTCTATTTGAATATATTTTTTTAAAAGTTAATTTGATAAATTGAAAGTTATTTAGATAATATATAATAGAAAGTATTTTTAAATGTGTAATTGCTAAAAATGACAAATTTTATAATATGTGATTTTTTTATGTTAATGTTAATTTATTAAAAATATATAATATTTTTATTTACATTTTAAAAAAATATTAACAAGGGGCAACATGGAAAGAAGCGGTTAAAAATTTTAACTCTCATACATGGGCGAGGATTTATTAAAAGTCCATTCATGTTAGCATTAAAAGTCTTTTTCCAAAAAGCAACTCTCTAGCTTTTTGAAGAAGGACTTTTAATGCTAATATAAATGAACTTTTAAAATGTAAATTTAAAAATAAAATAGTAGGCAAGCAACTTTTACTTTTTAAAAGTCACAAAAATACTTTTGAAATATAGAAAGTAAAATACCTAAACAAATACTTAAAGTTTAGAAATTAAATTAAAATAAGTTCAAAGTCAAATGATTAAATTACAACTGAGTTTAAATTATAAAAATTAAATAATTAATTTTTTTATTAATATTATATAGATGTTATATTTTTTTTACCCTCAAAGTTTATGAAAGCTTTAATTTATACAGAGAGAGACACACAAATGTATATTTTTAAACATCAGCTCCTTCATTGTTAAATCCGGGTTCCGTCCCTAGTACAGCGGATGTTTAATATTTTAGCCACAGACAGTCATAGTCCTTCTGCCACTCGTTGTGCCATGTCTTCATTCATAATCTCTGCACTCATATATCATCTATCGGCTATGTACGAAATTGATCCATCAAAAGCTGGGGTTATTTTCTTAAAAAAGAAAATTCTGAAGTCACGCTCGCGCGCGCGCGTTGGGAGCAGCTGCACTGCACCCAGTAGAAAGTAACCGACGCAGTAGATTAGCCCACCCCAAGGTGGAGAAAGCGGTCTCAACAACAGACAAGTAATCTATTGTAGAGAAAGTATATAAGAGCCTGTCTGTTTAATATTTAAAATAATTTATTTTTAGATGGTTTAGAACTTTTATAAAAAGGTAGACATTGAAAAAACAATTTTTTTTCAGCTGTTTTTTGTTTTGGCCCAATCAAATTTTTTAAATATTTGTTGTATTAAGAACTACTGATGAATAAAATCTAGACCTTTTGATAAAAAAATAGGCATTATTTTATATTTAGTTCCTATAATAAAAAGTATTTATTAGCTACTTGCATATTTTTAAATTTTATGATTTTTATTTTATAAAAATAATTTATTATTTAATTATTTTGAGATATCTTTATGTATCTCACATTTTTAAACCATTCGATCTCTCTCACTGGCTGATTGTCTCCGTAGTCAAAATTTTTGTTTTTGGTTTGGGTAATACCCTCTCAAAAAAAGCATATAAAATATATATACTCTAAGTACAATTACTATACAAATAATATACATATATATAAGATTATTTCAGTAAATAGAAACAGTATAATGCAATTAATAAGTATACAAATATAAAAAATATGTACAAGAAAAGAAAATGCATTATAAGTAGTAGTAATAATATTTAATAGTCATAATTAAAAATTAACATAAATTTAGTATGTTAAATAGGTTAACTGTATACATAATACGATTATCATTAGTGGATATTATAAATATGTACTGAAGATTTTGTTGGTTTTGAATTTTATTATTATTATCATATATAAAAAAAAATAGAAGTGAAGGGTCATGTGAAAGGAAAAGGAAAGACGTAAGAAAGTGTATGATTTAACAAGATGATGAGTGTGAAGTAATGAGATACTTCCTCCGTTAAAAAATTTAAAACATTTTTTAAGAAATTAGATGTTTAAAAATATAAAGCATTTTTAATCTTTTAAGATATAATCATTATTCTTTTTTTAAAAGTACCCTTATTGATAAATAACTTTATATTTACTGTAGGGTGTTTAATAAGAATAAATATAAAAAGATAGGGTTAGTTTGAAAGTAGGTAGTTATTTTATTGAAAGGTGAGATTATGTTAAAAATGCCTTACATTTTTTAACGGAGAAAATATATATTATGTACTCTTAAAGAAAAATAATTAAACAAAGTGATGGATAAGAATGCACGTGTGGTGAAATAATGAATGTGATAAACATAAAATAATTCGGGCATTTACTCTTTATATATGTCATTTCTTGTTTTAGAATAGTGATACAATTTTT